GTGAGGCACACTTTAGTCTTTAACGTGATTACTTGCACTTTAGAATTTTAAAGAAGTTCTAGGCAGCATATTTTCTCATTTATTTCTGGGCTGCTCCTTGTTAGGCTATAGATTTTGGATCTCAATAAAATGAAATCTTTGACTACTTCATTCTTTTCTCCATTTGTCATGAATGACAGTGCCTTTGGTCCCATTGTGGGTTTAGGTGTAACTCATACTGAATGCAATAGTTTTTGCTTCTTCAGTAAATTCTTCAATCCTCTTCACTGTCAGCCTGCAGGATTTTTTCGTCTGCATTTTCTAGGTTGTTGATGAGTCTTCATTCCATTCTGGTATCATATACTTCTTTTTTTTAAAAAAAGTATAGCTCAGTTTCTCAAATTTTCTGCTCAGCATACCAATTAAATAGATTTAGAGAAAAGGTAAAACTTTGACACATACCTTTCCTCGTTTTAAACCTTTTAGTATTACATTGTTCTGTATTACTGATTGCACAAAGTTCCACATGTGCACAAATGAAGTGTACTGGAATTTTCATTGTTCTCAGTGTTGGTCGTAATTCATCATGGTTCATATAGTCAAATGCTTTTACATGGTCAAGAACACCTCTTCTGAATCACCTTGAATTTCTGGCAGTTCCCTGGCCATGCGCTGCTCCAGCAATCTTTGAATAATCTTCAGCAAGATTTTTTATTTCATGTAATATTAATATCACTAATGTCACACACTAGCAAAATTCTACTGAAGATCATCCAGAAATTACTGGAATAGTACATTGACAGAGAACTACCAGAAATACAAGCTAGATTTAGAAGAGGTCGTGGCATTAGAGACATTGCCAATGTCAGATGTATCTTGGCAGAAAGCAAAGAGTACCAGAGAAATATTTATCTGGGTTCCATTGACTATGCAGAGGCATTTGACTGTGTGGATCACAAGAAATTATGGCTAACCTGAAGGAAAATGGGAGTCCCAGAACTATTGATGTGCTTATACAAAACCTTTACTTAGACCAGGAACCAGTCCTTAGAACAGTGCAGGGAGACACTGCATGGTTCAAAATCAGGAAAGGAGTGTGTCAGGGATGTATCCTTTCTCCATACCTTTTCAATCTATATGCAGAACATATCATTCAGGAAACAGGACTTTATGAAGAGGAATGTGGCTTCAGGATTGGAGGAAAAGTCATCAACAACCTGCACTATACAGATAATACAACCTTGCTTGCTGAAACGGAAGAAGATTTGAAGCTCTTGCTGCAGAAGGTCAAGGACTATAGTGTTCAATAAGGATTGAATCTTTATAATCTAGAAAACAAAGTTTCTCACCACTTGGCCAATTGGCAGCACCATGAGAGATGGGTGGAGAAGAGATTGAAGTTGTTAACAGGTACAGTTTGTTCAACTCCACAATCAACACCAGCAGTCAGGAAATCAAAAGATGAATTGCATTGGGAAAATCGGCTGTCATGGACCTTTTCAGCGTGCTGAAAAGCAACAATGTCAGTCTAGAGACGAAAGTGCACCTAATCTAGTACATGGTCTTTGCAATTACTTGTTATGCTTTAGAGTTAGACAGTGACTAAGAAGACAGCAGAAGACTGGATGCCTTCAAATTGTGGGGCTGGGGAAGAGTCTTGGATATACCATGGATTACTAAGAAAACAAATAGGTCTGTTTTGAAGAGATTGAAATAAAATTTCTCCTTGGAGGCTAGAATTTTGAAGCTCTGTCTTGCATACTTTGGGCACATGGCCAGGAGAAACTGGTCAAACTGGTCCTTGGAGAAGGACATGCATGGAAGGGTGTAGGAACAGCATGGGAGAGGAAGACCCCAGATGAGTTGGATGGATACAGTAACTGAGGCAATGGTGGCTGGTGTGTTGGCATTGGTGAGACTGTATCAGGACAGGGCATGGTTCAGAGTTGCTTTAATTAGGGACAACTATGGCTCAACAGCAACTAGATGGCACATAACAACAACAACAATTTTAATACTATTTTTCAATAATCTGTGAGTTCTTTTATATCACTTTTTTTTTTAATGATAACAAAGTGGTTGGCCCAGTAGTTAGCTGTCTTCCAAATGTCTTGGCACTGACAAGTGAGTACATTCAGAGTTACATCTGTTTGCTGAAACAGCTCATCTGGCATTCCGTTACTTTCTGCGGCTTAATTTTTACTCATGCCTTTAGTGTAGCTTTAGCTTCTTCCTCTAGTATCATTGGTCCTTTATCATATGCTTGTAAAAAGAGTGCAGATGGTATGAAATCAATTGTGTCAGACTTCCATTAACTCTTTAAGGCAGGAGATTCTCTATCAGCAACATTCGAAGCACAAAACTGATTCCTATGATATCCGTGCTCCCTGAACTTACCTCTATTCATTCTAACACCGACTAACCCTCTGAGAGCTCTTGCTGCTTTACTACTGGATGTGCCTGGTAACCTGGAGCAATGACTACACAGAATTTACAGTTTTATACTCATGATTATGAGCTTTGTTAAGGAGTATAACTGGTTGTAATTCAGATTCGAAGCAGGATAAAGTTCTTGAGGCAGAACAGCTTCTCAGGAGTGCTTGAAGGTCTTTTGACCTCCGCCTGTCTCCTCTTTGTCAGGCCTCCAGAAGCTTTGGTGAAGACCCCTGCCTGACTATGCGGTAGCAGTACCGGGTCAAGTCTGCCTTACATTGGCCTCAGGTTCTCCACTGCTGCTCTATCTCTCGTCTATGTCCTGGACTGAGTGGTGTCAAAGTGTCCGGCCCAAGTGGAAGGGCGCTGTGTTCTCTGCGTTTTTCTTAATGGTGGCTGGATTCCCATCTTCCGGCCCTGAACCTGCTCAGTTTAAACCTGGTGGATGTTATCATTAACAAATGTCTCATGTTTGCATGTTCCCACCTGCCATGTGGTGAAAGTCAAAAGTAATGGCCAGGAAAGTTGTTGAAGAATAGACCCACAGTGCTACTACCTGCAATAGTTCAGTATTGCACATTCTTTTTTGCTCCCATGACTCAGTGTATTCTTTCCATCTTGTGTTGCTTCCTGCCCCATTCAGTATATAGCTCATAGAATCCTTCAGTATTACCACTCCAGCCTTTACTTTTTTCTTCAGTTCCGTTAGCTTGAGAAATGCTAAGCGTGTTTTTCCTTTCCATTATACTACTTTATATTGTCTTCTTGAGCTGCCGTTTGAAATCTTCTGTTCAGCTCTTTATTTCATCGTCTTTCTCTTTTTCCCCCCTATAATTATATTTTATTAATTTTCATAAACATTTACAGAGATTTTGGGTTTCCATTCATTCATTGTTGCACTATTCTCTCTACCCTCCCAGTTTGTTCTTGTCCAAATGCCACAGTGCTTGTCAAAGGCAGTTCTGATTAATCTTCTTTGACAGTGTGTCCTTTGCCATTCCCTATCACTCCTCCCTGAGAGAGACTTCACCCTGAGTCATAAGGAAAAGGGGATGGCGTATTCTCTTAGCTACTTCCTGCTGAAAAGGGACGCTGTGGGTTTCAGGGTGAAGATCTTCTCTCACTACTCTAAAGGGCCCCTTTGGCAGTAGGAAACACATAGACTATTATGGAGATTGATTTTGGAATTTAGATGCACTCTTATTGATTGTGCTTGGCCGTACATGTTCATATCCTTGAAGATGTATCATGGGGGTGTTGCAACCTAGAAGACACAAATTTGACTAACAAGTTATAAGTACATGAGTCAAAAATTATGGAAAAGTAAAAGAAAAGATTTTTTCATTGTTTTACAAACCCTCCCCCAGGTCCCCTCCACCATGTAGCCCTCGCTCTAGTCTCCTGTGATGACAGAAATACCTAGTTATATATCTCTTTTAAACAGTTTTCTCCCTCCTCTGTTTCAGTGCAGGATACATTATTGAATCCATCTTACTCAGTCTCTCCCCAACCCCAAGGACAGTCCCATTCTACAACAGTGGCATCATGTAATATTTGTCCTTTTGTGACTGGGATATTTTACTCAGCATAATGTTCTCCAGAGTCAACCATTTTGAATACTATTGCATGAGTTCCTTGTTTTTTAATGCAGCATAGTATTCCATTGTGCGAGTATACCACAGTTTCTCTAGTCATTCGTTTGTTGATGGGCACTTAGGTTGTTTCCAACTCCTTGCTATTGTGAACAAAGCTGCAATAAACATGGGTGTGCATATATCTGCTTGGATGTCAGCTATGGTCTCTTCAGGGTATATTCCCAGTAGTGGAATTGCTGGGTCAAATGGTATCTCTATTTGCAACTTTTTGAGAAAGCGCCATACTGCTTTCCACAGGGGTTGCACCATTTTACACTCCCACCAACAGTGAATCAGGGTTCCAGTTTCTCCACAACCTCGCCAGCATTTGTTGCTTGCCGTCTTTTTCTTTTAATTTTACTTCTCTACATCGTAGAACAAAGCAAGTTTCTGAGTCTTTAGACCTGCATTTTGATCTTTTCTCTTAGGTCTTCATGCAGCCAAATAAAATAGTTAGGTTGTAATAAATGTTGGTTCTTTTCTTGCCTGCACGTCTCCTCTTAGATTTAGTTTTGGAAATCTGTGTCCATGGTGTCTAGAGGTAGATGCTTAATATTTGAGATAATTGATGCCCTATACCTTTTCCTAGGTTGCTTGGTGTAATAACTTTAATATAGTCATTTTGCATAGAGTTTTGATTTTTACTTTGTAAATGCCCCAGATATTTTACAACTCATTTCCTATCAACATATTAAATTGTTTTCTTCATGGCATTTTTTATTTCCAGAAGCAATTGTCTTAATATCCAGACTTTTTGATGTCATATCTTTTGTGGATACCAAGAATTATGATATGATAGATTTGAAAACAGAAGTAATTTGCTCAAAATAATACTACTTTTATTTATTATACATAATTTTTTAAGATGAAAAGTGAGATTAATTTAGCTATTATTTTTATAAATTATCTTCAGTTTTCATGAATTAAATTTTTTTCCCCCAACTTACCTTATAGGGAAGTCTTAAGAGTAGCCGACAGATCTCACCTCAGGAATTCATCTCCGAACTGAGAATGGGATCTGCAGATGAGAGACTTGTCACATACCTGGAGTCCCTCCGTGTCTCTTTGACCAGTAACCCTGTCAGGTAATTCATTATCCAAACACCGGTGGAGCTTGTTACTGAATTTAACAACTGTCATCAATACACTATTTTTATTTAATATTTCCTTTATGCCTTCTTTAAAGAACATGCTAGTACACTTGAAGTTTTCATGGGAAAATTTCCTGCATAATACTTACATATATGAATCAATACAATCTCAATATTAATTTTTTACATTTATTCTTAAGCATTATATAGTAAGTAGCTATTAAAAAAACATACTTTTATTTAGTTAGTTTAGAACTTTGAAATAGTTAAGGTTTTGGTTTTTAAAAAAAGATTGTTAGGATCCAAAGTTCTCAGATTAAAGTGGTTGAGTGCCACTGTAAGTTTTAAATTGTATTTATTATTTCTGATTCTGCTTAATTTAGTAACATATCACATTGACTAGTTTTTTGGAAGTGATACCATTGTAGGACTTCATAGATAAGTGTTGCCACATTTAGCAAATAAAAAATACAAGATGTCCAGCTAATTATGTATTCTAAAAAAACATTTAAATGCCTCAGACTATTGCATGATGATGTTATTGTGTGCCATCAAGTTGGAACTGATCCATGGCTGACCCTTCAGCAGGCATTAACAGGGAGATTACCCATCCTTTTTCTGCGGAGCAGCTAGAGGATTCACTTACATCTCAACAAGGTGCTTGAGGTGTGGTGCAGGTGACCCACATATAATGGGCTCCTGAGAATGGAAGTATGGGGCCCCCTGGGGATAGACAATAACCAAGGTTGGGGTGGTACCTCTGCCACATTTTAACCACAGGTAGTATGGGCTGCTGGGGTCCATGCCTGGCTGCTTCTGCCACTGAGACTGCTGTGTGAGAGGAAGATCTTTGTGGAAGAGTGAGGTCTCCCACATTTGAAGAAGTCAGTGGCTTCCCACCAGGTTTCTCTCCTCACTGTAAGCTCCTTGAAAGGTGGAATCATGCCTTACTCATCCTTGTGTCTTCAGAGTCTGGCAGTGTTCCTGATCGATAGGTTAAGCTGAATTTTGGGGACATTGCCACTGTTTGATCTAGCTTTGATACCAGTAGTAACCACAGTAGAATGTTATAGTTACTGGTGATTGTTTCCAATGCCAAACTAAAAAGCAAAAAGAACTGGTTTGGAACAGTAATATTTATAGAAAAAGCTTTTGCTAGAGAAGTGTGGAAAATAGCAAAATCCAGTAGTTTTAATTGAAAATAGACTAACGTAAATGTGATCCCACTCGTTACATTGGACTTTTGAGTTTGGAATCTTCCAAGTATATGCTATGTTAGGAAGAGGAATAGAATTTTTGAAATAAGCTCTGTCAAGTTGCAGTAGACAGTTGGAAAGAGTGAAAAATTAATTAGAACTTTCTTTGGAAGACAGAATGATAAGGTACAAACTAGTGATTTGATAATTATGCTTGATGAACTGGTGATTGAAACGAAAAACTAAAGCTTGTCTCTAAGCCACTGGTTTGATTGATGTCTTGTGTGAATGGAAAGTTTTCAGAAAGAGTAACTACTAGGTTGGTTGATACACGGTACTGATGGGATTATCATGTTTCTACAAATCATTTAATAAAACCTTCAGGCTGTTCTATGAAGTTAATGGGGACAAAACACTGTCATCTCCCTCTTGGGTTTCTGTCCGACCCCAAAATACACCAGCTCCAGAACTTCTCACATCTGAATCTGCCACTGAGAGCCTTCTGAAACGCAAACATCTTAGCACTTTGCTTAAGTTTATTACCTAAAAAAGTGCAGCTGTTTGTTGCTCCTTATTTGGTGCAAAGAAAGGGAAATCAAGCTGTTAGTCCAGAGGAACTAAGGAACCGTGTGAATTTCTTTCTCCATGACCCTGAGACCAGAAGAACGAGACGATGCTTGACCACCACTGTTGATCACTCTGAAAGGAACCACAGTAGGAGGAGAAAAATAAATGTGGAGCACAATTCAAAATCATGAAAGGACACTTCTAAGACCGCTACTTGAAACTGAAATCACCTCCATGACTCAACTTTGAGCCAGACATTAGGTTTATGAAGTGACTGATAACACCAGGGAGGAATGCATGCCTTAGAACAATCAGCCACGCAAGTTTAAACTCAGCACTTGCCTAGGGATAAAGCTTAGAAGGTACACATGGAGAGGAAAAAGAACAAAAAGAAGTGGAGAGTACAGGGAGAAGGTGAGAAATCTGCTGTTACAATGTGTGAATGCCATCAATGTCACAAAACATATATGAATTGTGGAATAGGAAAGCAGAATGTTATGTAAACTTTCACTCAAATTAAACAAAAAGGTGTTTTTTAAAAAAGAAATCTGAAGGTGCACTTGAAGAATGTTCAGTGTGTTGATTGCGTTACCCAAGTGGATGAGTTTCAATCTATTCAAGTACTAACACTGATCTAGGGAGGTTGCTAATCCAGAATACTCGGGTTTAGTGACTGGAAGAAATTGGTGTCGTGAAATATGAGCAGAAATAGAAATTAGGAATATTTTGGAATTGTAAGAGGCTGAAATAGATAAATTTTTACTTATTAAGTAAAAAATGGCTATACTTAATATGCGTATATAAAAATGTGTATGTATATATTTTCTGATGGTTAAAATGTCATTTTATAATTGAAATTTGGACATAGATCATTCACATGATTTTCTGGATCTTTTCAAAGTTTGGTTCTAATATCAAAACCCCAAATCCTTGACAGTACAAGCATGTTTTGAAAATTATTTTTATCTATTGAGACATGAAAATGAGTGAGGTTACACCAAGGAATATGAAGAGTAAACAAAGACTCTTTAGCACATTTTATTTTACTTATAGTTTGTTTCTAGACTCAATTGTATAGTATATGGGACCAGAAATTTCATGTCTTATATATATATTTTTAAATTATTATTAAATATTATTAATTTTAGTGAACATTTACAGAGATTTTGGGTTTTCATTCATTCATTGTTGCACTGTTTTCTCCGTCCTAATCCCCAGTTTGTTTTTCTCCCCCCCCATGTCTGTTTTAATTGTCCAATTGCCACAGTGCTTGTCAAAGCCAGTTCTGATTAATCTCCTTTGTCAGTGTGTCCCTTGCCATTCCCTATCACTCCTCCCTGAGAAAGACTTCACCCTGATTCATAAGGAAAAGGGGATGGCGTATTCTCTTAGCTACTTCCTGCTGAAAAGGGACGCTGTGGGTTTCAGGGTGAAGGTCTTCTCTCACTACTCTAAAGGGCCCCTTTGGCAGTAGGAAACACATAGACTATTATGGAGATTGATTTTGGAATTTAGATGCACTGTTATCAATTGTGCTTAGCCGTACATGTTCATATCCTTGAAGATGTATCATGGGAGTGTTGCAACATAGAAGATACAAATTTAACTAACAAGTTAAAAGTGCATGAGTCAAAAATTGAAAAACAATAATATTCTGAGTAGAGGTTCTAATAGTGGCACAAATCAAGTTACAGAGGGAAGGTGGTGTCTTTTATATTTAACTCTTATTTATATATAGGGATCTCTGGTAGCCTACTGGCAAGAAGTTGTGCTGCATTCCTGAAGGCAGTTCAAATTCACCAGTTTGAATCTACCAGCTCCTCTGCAGAAGAAAGATGGACATTCGCCTCCTATGTGATTAATTAATTGCCTCTGAAAACCCACTGGAAGGTCAGCTATGTACAGTAGTTCTGAACCCTGCTCTATCCTGAGCCCGTGTCACTGACTCAGACATCCCTACAATCCATCTTATCTGTGGTCTTCCTCTCTTGCACTGTCCCTCCACCCTTCTAAGCATGATGCCGTCCAAGGACTCATTTTTCCTTGCCATGTGCCCAAATTAATGTGAGACAGAACTTCAAAATGCTTGCCTCCAAGAAGCAACTTGGTTTCACCATCTCCAAGACAGACCTTTTTTATTTTGAACTTCAATCCATATTGAAGCCTATGGTCCTTACCCTTCTGTAGTAAATGTTTCAGGTCCTGAGTTTCAGCAAGCAAGGTGTGTCATCTGCATAACACAGGTCATTGACGAATCTTGTGCCAATCCTGATGCCACATTCCTCCTTATAAAGTCCTGCTCCTGAATGATCTGATTTACATACAGATTGAAAAGATATGAAAACATGGTGCATCCCTGACACACCTTTTTTGATTTTGAACCATGCAGTGTATCTTTGCTCTGTTCTAATGACTGCTTTCTGGTCCAACTATAGGTTTTGCATGAGCACAATCAGCTGTTCTGGGATTCCCATTATTCTCAAGGGTAGCCACAATTTATTCTGATCCACACAGTCAAATGAAACACAGCCTTTACACAGTCAATGAAACACAGATAAAAATTTCTCTGGTACTCTTTGCTTTCAGCCAAAATCTATCCGACATTGGCAATAATACTTCACGTTGCCACGGCTTCTTCAAAATCCGGCTTGTATTTCTGGTGTGCACTGCATTGACAAAGCAGAGAATAAGTACCACATAATCCTTTCATCTGATGCAGAAAAAGCCTTCAACAAAATCTAACACCCATTCCTGATTAAAACATTCTGCAAAATAAGTAAAGGGAAATCTCCTCTACATAGTGAAAAGTATATATGCAAGACCGAGTCATTTCCCAGGCAAGGATGATCACTATCATCACTTCTATTTAATATTGTGTTGGAAATGCTCATTAAGGCAAGAAAAGGAAATAAGGGGCATCCAAATTGGAAAAGAAATGGTGAAACTGTCCCTATATGCAGATAACATGATAGTATACATAGAAAATCTTAAAAGACTAATAAAAAAACTGTTAGACCTTGTTGACCAAATTAGTAGAGTGACAGGATATACAAGATGAGTATACACTTAATATTTCTCTACACCAACAAAGAAACTAAGGAAAAGAAAACTAAGAAAGCAATACCATTTACAATGGTTACCCACAAGAAGAAATAACTGGGATTAATCCTAAATGAAGATACTAAACACTGTTTAAAGGATAACTATGAAATCCTATTACAAGAAACAATA